GCACATGGCCCGACCTGGCCCCTGCCCTGCCCTTCCCCAGGGAGGGGGAGGACGCGCGCCCCGAGACGCATATCGGTGCCCCCCACCCCCCGCCGTGGCCCGCCCTCCCTCGGCCTGGGGGTCCCCATCCCTCACCCCAGACCGGAGGCCTCGCAGGCCTGGACAGACGTGAGTCGAGGGGAGTGTCACAACAGGGACTGGGGGGCCTAGAGTGCCTAGTAGGCGCTGGGGTGCATTCAGTAGGTGCTCAGCGTTTCACCGTGGCGGAGAAGAGGGTGCTCCGACTCACTGGAGACCTAGCTCTGTGACCCCGGCCGGCCAGTCTTTCCCCCTTCTTTGGACCTCCATTTTTGATCTCCATGAGAGTAACAGCCCGCACCTACTAGGTGCCAGACACTGTGCCGAGGGCTTGACTTGCGCGATGCCCCTTGCTTCTCACTGAACCCCTTAAGGAGTGCTCTGCGGGCCCCGTTTCGCACAGGAGACTGCAGCTCAGAGGGGTCACTTGCCCCAGGACTCACAGCAGAGCCAGAATTTGAACACAGGCTGATCTGACTCCCACACGTGTGCTTGACTCGATTGTCTCCCCACCCGGAGTGAACTCACCCACCCTACCATCCCTGAGATCCTACAACTTGCCAGTGCTAGCTCCTCCCCAGCCAGAGAACAATCTGGAACAATCTCTTCCCAAGAGCGGGTGAGGGAAAAGTAGCTCCAGCCCCCTCCCCCACCATTCTAGCCTGGCTGAGTGCTGTGAGCAGTGAGTGAGCTAATGACTCTAAAGTGCAGGGGGCTTTGGAGACTTGGCAAGTAACCACAGTTAATAAAGGGCATGGATGGCTCCTTCCTCACCACCCTGGGGACACCCATATGCCTCCCGCTCTCTTCTGCCCAATCTACCCCTTTTCTTTTCCTGAAGAGGCAGAGAGCTGCCTTTGCCCTGCACCTGCTACCCTCTCCCTAACAAGGGGACCTCTGGAACAGCAGGCCTCGAGGGAAGCCCCCCACCTTGTGGCACTCTCCACCCTGAGTCCCAATCAGAGAAACAAGGTTGAGGGGGGCAGCATAGACCAAGACCCTAGGCCCCTCGACATGGAGGGGGTCCCACATCTCCAAATGAGTCTCTCTCCACCACTCCGAAATTCCACCATTGGGGGGCATTCCTTTGGGTCTTCCCCCAGGCTCCAGGGGAAGAGCTAATCCTTTTTTGAAAAGGGCCACTTTGCAGTTATCCCACAGAAGGTCTTCGAAATCTCCCTCCACCCACCATTTTAGATGGACAAACTGAGGTCCAGAGATGGAAAGAGCTCCCCGAAATTCACACAGTGGGTCAGGAGGAGCAATGGAACTTTCCTCTCCTAATGCCCACCCCAGGACTCCTTGCTGACCCTCAAGTTTCTGTGGGCCACCAGGATAGGAGGGGGCTCAGGGATTCTTACTGAGAGCGAACTGAACTGGCCAGCCCATCAGTACCGCCAGACTTGCTCTGCTTGGCAGACTGAAACCCCCCAGCCCCATCTGCTTCCTCAGCCACATACCTTGCGCTGGGGTGAGCTTCAGTTGGGACCTCCACCTGTTTGGGGCAGGAGCCAAGGAACCAAAGCACCTCTATCTCCTTTCTCCTCTCTTCTCTCCTCTCTCTCCCCCCAGCAGCTGCTTCTGCCCCACCCCGCCTGGCGCCGCCCCACCAGCTGCAGCTTGGCCCCTGGGGACCCCCCTCACCCACCAGGCAGGAAAAGACAACCCGGGGCCTGCAGGAGCAGCTGGAGTCTCCTTAGGCCTCATCGCAGGAGCCAGCAGGAAGGAGAGGGGTCAGTTAGAGGTCACAGAGTTTTCTCCTGTCCCTGATGGGGAGAAAAGGCGAGAAGGGAGAGGGTCCTGTGGGGTCTGGAGTCCAGTCTAGCGCAGCGGGAGGTCGGGGGGGGGGGGCGGGGAGGGGAGGGGGAGTCTCAGCGCCACCTGCTGGCCTCTCCAGGTATAACCCCGGGCAGATGTAGGGCACTGGGAGGGGGGTGATGGCTGTGTCTAAGGGTTTCAGAGGGAGGGGGAAAGTGGTTGGAGGAGAGCGTGAAAGGCAGGGAGGATTTGGAGAGTCGTGCCTGTGGAGGTGCAGCCTTCCCAGGCCCCATGATGCATGGGGTGCTTGGGCATTACCAGATTCAGGGAAAAGTCTTGATGCCTGGAGTGGAAGCGGGGTAGGGGATGGCAAGAGTTGGGAAGATTTAGAGCCCCCCCTGGCGCTCTTGGGAGGGGCCCCAGGACCAATGATTTATGGGCACTATCTATACCACCATCTCTTAGCACAGGGCTAAGTGCAGTAAGCACTCAATAAATGTTTGTTGAATTTGTGGGATAAAATTGTTCTCCTAACATATATCTAATGAGCACCTATTATGTACCAGGCTCTGTGCAACATTCTGTAAATACAGCATTGGAAGTATGAATGAATGCATGAGTGAGAATCTGGGTGGGGATTGAAGGATAAGCCTCTGTCCTCCCAGGCCGCACTGGTCTCCATTTGGAGGACTCCACAGGCATGTCCTAAAGGGCTGGCTAATCATGAGGACTTGGATCCTCCTGAGTGTCCAGAGCTGCCCAGAGTCCTAGCACCTCACCCAGACTGCAGGTGCCCAGCCCAGACCCGCAGGTAATCCCTTAGAACGGGAAGGCTCCTCTTCACAGCCTAGAATGGTCATGGCCCTGTCTAAGGGATCTCCCTAGATACACACACCCCAAATCACAAGAGGAATCAGAAGGGCAGGAGATGGCTTTGGGTACACAAATAATCAAGCACCTACCAAGAACTTGGCTTTTTGTCCATGTTATTCTGAGTTTTAGGCTGGCACATGTTACTAGCTCCTGTTCCAGATCAGGAAGCTGAGGCTCAGAGAGGTGTGAGCACCTGCCGTGGGTCACACAGCTAGTGAATTAGGGAGTCTGCTACCTCCTCCCTTCACCCCTGGGGGCCCCTCAGGGCAGGAATCCTGGCCCAGGTTCACTAAAGGACACACATTTTCCTTCCCTGGAGGGCCTGAGGGGGCTTGCTGCTCACAGAGGCAGTTGCTAAGTCCAGGCCCAAGATCACACCAGGGAAGGGGCGCACCACTCACCCAACAGTTTCCACATGCTGGCACATTACACACATAAGAGAAGCTTCTTTTGAATCCTCACAACCCTGAGATGTCAGGATTGTCATACCCATTTTATAGATGAGGAACCTGAGGCTCTAAGTGGCTTGCCATACAGCTGGGAGACCCTGGTCCTGCCTGTCTAATCCCCAAAGTCCCTATCACAGCAGTGGTGACACCAGCCCAGCTCAATGCTCCCTGAGTGCCTGTACCAGGCCAGCCTGGGCCTGGGTGCTGAAGGCCTAGTGATGAACCAGATCGGGCCTGGCCCTTAAGGAGAGCCCAGGGTAGAGGAGAGATACACATTTAAAAGACAGAGGGAGGGGGCCTGCCTGGCTCAGTCGGTAGAGCTTGCTACTCTTTTTTTTCCCTTTTTTTGAGAGAGAGAAGGAGAGTGTGCAAGCGGCAGAGAGGCAGAGAGAGAATCCCAAGCAGGCCCTGCACTGCCAGCATAGAGCCTGATATGTGGCTCGAACCCACAGTGAAACCATGACCTGAGCCGAAATCAAGAGTCAGATGCTCAACCAACGGAGCCACCCAGGAACCCCAAGCTTGCTCCTCTTGATCTCAGGGTCATGGGTTCGAGCCCCACATTAGGGGTAGAGATTATTTAGAAAAATAAAATCCTAAAAATAAAATAAAATAAAATAAAATAAAATAAAATAAAATAATATCAGAGAGAACACTACCCTCTGGACCTGGAGGCACCAAGGGTCTAAAGAGGCCAGAAGAGGGGTGCCTGGGTGGCTCGGTTGGTTAATCATCAGACTGTTTATTTCAGCTCAGGTCATGATCAGTGTCATGAGATCAAGTCCTGCATCTGGCTCTGAGCTGGGTGTGGAGTCTGCTGAACATTCTCTCTTTCTTTTTCTCTCTCAAATAAATAAATAAATAAATAAATAAGTCAGAAGAGAGCATTAATTTAAAAGGAAAGCAGGGAGGGCTTCTGGGAGGAGGTGATGCCTGAGCTTAACTAATCCTGAGAGTCAAATGGGGATTACTCAAATGAGGGGGAACAGGCAGAGA